TTGATGTGCTGGTAAGGTGTTGGGCAAGGGAAAGCATTCTATAATCCTGTGATTAGATTCAGTCTTTTAGTGAGCCTAGTCCCTGGCCTGTGACCATCATATGTGCTTCTCAGCTTCCTGTAAGACAGGAAAGATAGAGAGGACTGGAGCTGGCTATTTCTTTCCCAACTTCAAAGGCTAGAGAAGGCTGGGGTTGTATATTTCCTGTACCCCCCGTCTTTTATGGGCAGGCTCTTTGGGTATATTTCAAAATGGTTTACTTTCCCCATCCTTTTCCAGAAGCAGGATTTTTCTCTGATGTTCAGTCTGAGAAGAACCTGGTGGGGCTCATGGAGGTAAACCTGACAAAAGTGTGGGCTGCCTTCCAAGACTGGGCCCTCAGGGATTTTTTATTTCTCAAGCTAGTTCACACTTAGTCTCCAGAAATTACTCAATTATCCTTTAAGTGTTCCTACCAGTTGGCTCCTGAGGCTGTTTCTGCTCCCAGTAAACTGTGATTCTCTGTATCTACCTGTCTCTCCAGTTTCTGGGACAGTGGCTTTTACTGTGACCTCAATTACTTGATGGAAATAAAAGAAGTTATTGAGTTTCAGTTTGTTCAGCTTTTTTCTTGTTGTTAGGATGGCAGTAATAACTTTCAGTTCCTTTATGTGTCAGATAAGAAAGTAAATCAACCCCTTCATTGGAATGGTAACTTTGGATTGTCTCCAGACTCCTATAGAAATATGAGTCACATTAACTCCTAATAGTTATTAACATATCAAGATAGTTGTGTATGTAATTTGAAAGCTGGATGCTGAGGGTAATGACAATGATAGAATAATAGTTAATATTTATTGAGTGGTTTTAGCATGTGATGCTCTATATTACAGAGGATTTATATGCATTACCTCATTTAATCCTAATAATTACCCCTATTTGGTATATATTATGATTATCACCAACTTTTTTAAAATAGGTGAAGCAACTGAGGCTTAGATTGGTTAAGTAGTATGCTCAAGAACATATAATTTGGGATTTCATCCCAAGTATTTGAATGTGGGATTTATACTGAACTGCTGTGGGGGTACCAAAATTCAACACTAGGACTGTGAAGATAGAAAGTTAGAGGAAAAGAACTAGGGAGGGGAAGGACTCTCTGCAGTGGGTTATCCTAGGCATTTGGAGTGGAAGTACAAGATTGATACCCAATTCACAATTGTGCTCCTATCTCTTCCAACTTTAAAGTGAAGAAAGTTCAGGTTTCCTACAAATTGTTAGGCAGAGCCTAGATGCTCTGTGGAATAGTTCAGTCTCCAGGGGAAAGGAGAGAAGTCTGGTGTGAGGGAATGGGTGTTAAGTATTTGAACAGGACCAGAGGTTATGTGATTGCCTTATGGTTGCACAGCTGCTTTGTGTCTGAAATTCAGAATCAGAATAAATATTTAAATGAATCTTCCTCATGTTCTTGCTGTGAGAAATGAGTCATGTGCTCTGAATAGCACTGAAGTAACCATGACTAACAAATCAAACTGATTGAAATACACCTGTGGTTGTGATGATGCTATCTCAGAAGTAGACTGTGAATGTAGTGGTGAATATTTCAGGGTGGGAACTCCAAGATCCAAATATGGCTGGCAGCTTCAAGGGGCTGGGTCAACAGACGTTTCTGTTGAACATCCTAGGCTCCCAACCTAGCAACTGCTGGCAAATAACATCTTCCACTCAGGAAGGCTGGGAAGAAGGGAAGGAAGCTGGAATTTAAAGGCTGATGTGATTTTGGCTGAGCAAGGATGTCCTACAGCAAACTGTTCTGTGAGAGGACAGCTGGACCATGAACTGAAGCTGTTTGTTAAACTTAGGTAAAACTGGTCCTCAGCGAAAACTTCCAGTTGATTAAGTTCAATGTAATGGTCTCAGAGGCATTAACTAATAGAGGCATTACACACTGAGGACAATATTAGGGGCCTGTTCCCATTCGAGGTTCTGGTAGTTTGTCCTTACCTCAGATAAACAACCATCTTGAGACTTGACCTATGTGCTGCAAACTTTATTGCCCACCAGTCTGTCAGAATTAAACTAAACAGGTCTGGAGGGAGTGAAGTATGGTAATGTTGTCTGTCCAATAGGAAAGAGATGATGGGAAGACTGGGGGCAGGAGAGAAGCAGTGACAGTAGTAAGCCTCACAGCCAGCAGCTTAAGGCAGAGATGCTGCAAATAATGGAGTAAAAAACCTGGAAGACTTCTGAGATTTGATATAGGCACCCAGACGTGGGCAGGATAGCCAATGAGGTAACTTCGTGAAGGATGGGTTGGTGGGGGCAGGATATCATCTACAAGGCTCTTCTGAACAAAATATAGTTTCTCTACCCACCTGCTAGGATTAGTGTTGGAGTGGCCTCTTAGGAGCTATACATTTTCAGTGGGTTAAAGTATTACGTTGCTGGGGGATGGTTAACCAATTAGTGAAGATGTGTTCTTATCTGATTAGTCCATTAGCACCAAGTTTCACCAAGTAGAGCCAGACGTTTGGAGGAGATATAATCCAGGATTGTGAAAGTTTAGGGATGAAAAGCATTCTCTCTGTTGGATGACCACTAAATATAGTGCTGCCCAGCAAGAGTGTAATGAATAAACTCTGCAAGCCTCTGGATTCTGGTTGTTCATATGGTAGTGTATAGTATCCCCACATGCAGAGTAAAAAACTGAGACCTAAAGAAGTTAGGCAAATTTTCCCAAGATCACAGAACTTGGGTGAACCCCAGATTTTGACCTAGAGCTGTCTTGCTCTGAAGCCAGTTTGCCTTTTCATCTATACTACATTGTTCCAGAAGGATGGAGGTGACCTGAAGATAACATTTTCCTATAGCACAGTTAAAAACAAAAACTCTGTTGGGTACAAGGAATCCTTTATAAGGCTAGATGATAACTTGAAAAGCACTTGGGACTATCTGTATCTATCCCAAAGAACATGTGAAGGTTCCAGGCTGTTCCTCATCAGGAGTTGTTTTGTAATTCCTGTACACTCTTTAGATTTTACTTCCTGGGGAAAAAAAACAAAGCAGTGTGCAGAGAAGATGAAAATGGTCAGAGCTAATTGCATATGGACTTTCCCCCAAAAAATGACATTAGAAAACGATGCCATTTGTCTTTGAATGAAGTGAGTGTGGGGGCTCATTTGCCTGCCCCCACCACTGCTCTGTGAAAGTGAGGCAGCTCAGTTTTCATTTTCCTTTCCTCTCAAAATGCCCAGAGGGACCATATTTTTGTTTAATGACCTTCAGAATGATTCTTTAGAAATCTGAGGCTATCAGAGTTGGAAGCAATGCGAAAATAATTGTGGATTATTATTGTATGACGATAGTGGCAGCTGGGCTATTTTTTTCTTTCTGTTCAGTCTTTCTTTTTCATTTTCCCAGAAACCTTATATCCCAAGGTTTAACTCAGAAGCAAATCTCATATAGGTGATAAACCTTGCCAGACATGGTATGTAATAGAATTTCAGACAGACCCTTAAGTGTTCTTTGGAAAGACCCTAGGGAGTGAAGCAGCTTTATATCTAGATGCCCTAGACAGTATTACTTTTATTTACTCTCTGACAATGTGTGTGGGTAGTTGTATTGGACATAAAGCAAGTGTATCTCTTAAATATTATACCTGTGAACTTAAGTGTCAGTTTTTGTGTTTTGTTTTCACTTCTGTTATCATAACAGAAGAAATTTTGTTACAGTAAAATCTAATAAATGGGTACTCACTCTTCCAAACCATTTTACGACATGTGCGCACACACACATGCACACACTCAAGCATGCAGAGCTGGGGATTGAGAGTCAGCACCGATTTTACTTTTACATGAATATTTAGGATGTGTCTGCAGAGGGTGGGAGTAAGGGTGGGGAGAAGGAGAGGTAGAATAGATGTTGTATATACCATGGGGAATATGGAAACTGTCCTCAACTATTATTCATGTCATCTGCCTCATGATCAATTTTTTAATTCCTTAACTGACAGATCCAGAATTTAAATGATAAAATACTTCAGTACCCCCTCACACCTATCCCCCACAGCTTCACGGATGTTTGCACAGCTTTTGGCCACCACTTTCGTTGAACATTTGAGATAAGTGGTAGACAAACTGGAGCAATATGTAAAACGTAGTCTGAGAAAATTCCCAAAAGACAAAGCCACTTGGCTGAATATTCTTACATACTCTGCTATTGTATCTCTGTCAGTCGACGGAAATTAATCATTCCTTTCTAGTAAAGTCCAATTCCAGTAGCAACACATTCTTACCAGATGAGTAAAAGAATTGACCTCAAAACCCAAATCTTATTATCTGGTCACAGATCACTGAACTCAGAAAATAAGTGGATCATTTCCCCATTACCTTATTACAACAAAGTGTGTCCTCATTTTACCTAGCTATGTTTCTAGAGAATTCCTCAAGCCTCGTTTTCTTGATCCCCTTCCCCCCTCAACCTCCTCACAATAGATCTCTTGACTATGGGGAGAGAGACTCTTGAATATTATTATTAGGTTTTACTATAAAAATTAATTAAACCATTGCCAGTGTAAAAGCCAATTAGAATTTTTAAATAATGCCTAAGGCTCCCTTGTTTATATTATGTTGCTAAGCGAACGCTATCCTCTTAGAACTCTTAGGACATATTCCTGTCATATAGAAAGAACCAGGGCATTAAAATGCTACTCAGTGACTGCTCTACCTCTTTTGCGTTTGGGGATCTTGTATGCTTTTCTGTTTTTGCAGAATGTCTCTAAGGACTTTCTGCTCTTGGGATCAGGCCTTTAAAGCGGTTCTTAGGGTGGTAGTTGTGAATTTTCAATTGGATACAATAAGATGCATTTGTGATGTTTTCTGGTCATTGACGTAACTCTTTAGCTACATATTTTGAAAACTAAAGAGAAGAGTACAAAAAACTGAAAGTACTAACTTGCCAGTACTAAGACTTAGTGATGTAAATTTTTATTTTTTGCTTACTTGAAAATATTTTCTCTGCAGGAATGCAAGCCAAAAATGTGGAGAAGCATCATAATACAGAAAGGAAATGCCCTTCTAATCCAGGAAGTTCAAGAAGAAGATGGGGGAAATTACACCTGTGAGCTTAAGTATGAAGGAAAACTTGTAAGAAGAACAACTGAATTGAAAGTTACAGGTAAGCATTGGTTTAACCAAATCATGGCAAATGAGATTTTAAGTATAATTTGGTACAGGAAGAAAAAGTTTCCAAACAAAGAGTAAACTAGCTGTGAATTTATAATTAGCTACAAATAAAATAGTTGTGAAACTCACTATTAATAAGTTATACTGATAAGCTATATGTGGAATATGGACAATTAATTTAGGGAACATGGTACCAGTTACTGCATATCTGTTCTCTGCTTTTATGAAAGGTTCTTAACTCTTCAGGGTATCATTGATTGTTACTAAGCGTCTCAGAAGAAATATGCTGGAACCACTTTAGAATGTTGACTTACCCCATATGTGGAGCCTTCTTGCAGGTGAAGGCTGCCTCAGAATGAGGTTCTGTTGGGCTTTTGTAATGAAATCTTCTTGGACTGCATCCAAAATATCATTTGTATAGAATTTCTCATAAATGAGTGATGTTATTGTGAGGTTCTAGTGATTCTTAAATGGAGCAACTCCAAATGAATAGCATGCACATGTGTGTTTTACATCAGAAGTACAAGCAAATTGTAAATTAGTAATTCTACTCACAATGGAAGAGAGAGACTCAGAATATTCTTACCTGGTGGAGAATGTTAGTAAGTAATTTTCAGCAAAATAGGACAGACCCTAATGACATAAAGATTATCCCTGACAATGGATGTGATGGACCTTAAGAAACAGTGTGACAAAAGGTCCACCTACTATTGTGCCTGAGCAAATCTTGACTAATTCTATTCTTCTTATATATGTTTTAGATGTATGTGTGTGTGTATAAGTATACACACACATTTTTGTATTGTGGGTAAAATGTGAGCCATGGTAAAATTTGACATTATCCAGACAAGTGTAATATTTATTGCACTTATTAGCTTGAGCATTACCTGTTTAACCATCTAATGTTGACATCAACTAGTTGTTTAGTTACAACATACTCTCATTAAGGTTAGGAATATAGATTTTCTTCTATATTGTTTTTGTTTATGGCTAGCTGACCTTTTTGGGATAGTGTTAAAATCAGTCTACTAATAATGATACTTGCTTAATAAGTTCATTTGTATAACATATATTTGATTTAGTTTTTGATCCCTGAGAGTCAACTAGTTTCTTTTTTCATCTTTTTCTAAATTCTAAATGTTAACAAAAGGAGTAAAAATAAAAATCAATATATATATACTTTAAAATTAATTAAAAATTAATATATATACTTTAGTTCATTCTCTATTCTGATACATGACAGTTCTACTTCTTAGTCTGAATTGTAAAGTACCTTCTGTGAAGGTTTGAATTATTATTTTGATGAGAATTGCACGTTGCTTCTCCATGAGCTTTCAAAATAACTACCATATTTGGCCAATCCAAATAGCAAAGATCTGCTTTTGTTTAATTTCTGATTCCCTTAGTATGAACTAGACTTCCTGCCTCATTCAAGCAGAAGAGTCAATCATAGGCAGTTATACATCATTCATAAGTGGCCTGACCATGCACAAATCCTTGCAGAATCATCACTTTGACCACAGTCACACAATCCTTATCTGATGCTTTCAGAACACTTCCATTTGGAGGTCATTTAGTAAAGTTTGTAACATTATAGTGTTTAGCTTATATTTTAAGTTGGACCAGAATAAAGTAAATATCAAACCTCTTTTATGCTTCCATCTGTTGGGTTATGGTGACAACACATTTGTTTCTTTAGTTTGTTTTTAGATTCTGGAGCTTATTTTGGGTGTCTTATAAGGCATTAATTCACTTGCCCTAAACTTTAAGAAAAGTTGAACTGGGGATTTAAAATTTCACCTGAACTCTACCTCTCAGAGTTTCTCAGACTTTAATGTGCATCAGAATCACATGGAAGAACCCAGGTATGGTAAAGATAAGGCTCCTTAAATATAGATTCCCATCTCTCTCCTCCAGATTCTAATTTAGTACATCAGTAAGACAGGGAATTTATCTTTTTGTCCTGGGGAATCTCTTGCATGCCTTTCAAGGATCATGCTTTGAGAAATACTAGCTGAGAAAATGGTGCCAAAGAAGTCAGTCACAGGTATGATTCCCTTGTGAGCATGTTAGTTCACACATACACACACAGACACACACACACCAAAACTAATTTTCATAGGTCCCAAATTGTTTCACCTAAGCTCCTAACAGCTGTCATGAAAATACAGAGTTTTGATCACTAAGGGAAATCTGTCAAGGGAGGGTGAGGATAAAACCTCAGCCACTGAAACAGTAATTTATTCATTTACTATTTAAATAAAAATATACTGAGTATATATTACATACTAGAAAAAATAATTCAAACTTATCCTTGAGTCATTGTTCATATAAGTATATATCAAGTTTATTTATTCACAGAGTTCAAATGTTATACTTGATGTAGAGACAAAATGTCTTCTCAGTATTGAAGTTCAAGAGGTTGCTCTGTGAAGATTTATTTTATTTGCAATATTGTCTAAGCTATATTATTCCTTGTTTCCTTGTTTAAAGAGCAATTACTCAGCCATAAAAAGGAAAAAAAACTGAGTTATTTGTAGTGAGGTGGATGGACCTAGAGACTGTTATACAGAGTGAAGTAAGTCAGAAAGAGAAAAACAAATACTGTATGCTAACACATGTATAAGGAATCTAAAAAAAAATGGTCATGAGGAACCTAGGGGCAAGATGGGAATAAAGATGCAGACTTACTAGAGAATGGACTTGAGGATACGGGGAGGGGGAAGGGTAAGCTGGAACAATGTGAGAGAGTGGCATGGACATATATACACTACCCAACGTAAAATAGATAGCTAGTGGGAAGCAGCCGCATAGCACAGGGATATCAGCTCGGTGTTTTGTGACCACGTAGAGGGGCGGGATAGGGAGGGTGGGAGGGAGGGAGATGCAAGAGGGAAGAGATATGGGGACGTATGTATATGTATAACTGATTCACTTTGTTATAAAGCAGAAACTAACACACCATTGTACAGTTATACTCTAATAAAGATGTTAAAAAAAAGAGCAATTAACAGATTGTCCTCTTATATTTCAAAATATAAGGCTGGGATTATTTAAAGAGTAACCCACTTATACTTGTTTTGAGTTTAGCGATATGCAGGCATGGGCTAGGAATATTAATACAAAAATCATAGAGTTGGTTAATTACAAAATCATGTAGGTAGAGGTTTTTAAGATTGTGTATTGCAAGTATGCAAGTTTAAAAAGATTATCAAAATTTTAAAAGATTATTTTCTCACTGTTCTTTTAAATTTATAAATCAGAAATATTTCTTCAGTGAAACAAGTGCTCTCTTAAAGTCTATAGGTACTACTTGCTTTAAATATACCGGTTGTAAAAAGATCTAGTTATTCAAAACTGATTAAATAGAAGGTAATCTTTGGCTTTATGAAATTATTTTTTCAATATAAAAGAATTTGTCATGAGATTTCTTTAAATAGCCAGCTGCATTTAAGTAGGATTTGATTTATATGCAACTTTTCTGGAATCATTTTAATATTTAAATCATAGAAGACCTGTGTACTGTTATTGTAGACATTTCTTTTTTATACTTTTGGAGGCTGCAGATAAATAGGGAGTGGTTTAACAACATATAGACATGTACAACAGGGTATTTAGGTCATTTGCCAAAGATACCAACAACTAACAGTTGTATTTCCCACAGCATTTTTCAGGTGGATATTTGCTATTTTAAAGATATTTTTTTTCCTTTATTCTCACATTGAATTTTGTGCAGAAGCCTAGTCAAAGTGATAAGGAAAGAAGGGAAGGTTGACTACATGAGAATGTAGAACAAGTGATAATAGAAGAAGGAGAAGAGGAGTGGGAGAGAGTGGACAAGATAATGGAATAGTGTCTCCTATTATAATAGAGGAGAACGTCTACCTTGAGAAGGTCAATGACAGACATAAATTATAGGGGCTCCCAAAAATGAACCCAAGCAGGAAGCCAATACTAATTAACTCTATTTAGAAGATAATTCACCCTTCACCTAACAAATCATTCATAAATACATGATTTTATGCCTTTTCAGAAAAGCATATTGACTATTTAGAAAAGAAAACACTAATCTGTTCTCTGGTGAATATGCAAATAATACCCCTACTCCTGATTATCTTAGATAGCTCTAGAGTTCCTGACTTGAGACTCTTCACTTATTAGGGATGAGAGACTTCTTAACCCATTGGTGTCTTAATGTCATGGCTAGAAAGAGAGATTTATTCTATGGATAGGTGCAAAGATTTGCTGCTGGATTACTATAATAGCAGCAAATCAATCTGGTCATGCAAGGCTTGATTAAATTGCAAACTGGAAGCTGGAATCAGTCTTTGGTGAAGATGTTCAAATGCATGGCTTCAGTAATTGCTTTTAATTTCACTTTGCAAAGCTAAAACCAACTGTAGTGCATTGTTGAAGGTGTCACTTAGACTGCATAGCTTGTTAGGGTAACCTTCCTTTGGTGTGGAGAATGGCATCTGTTTACACACAGAGGAAGCAATTTCCCATCAGATTTGAAAATGGGCTTTTCCTGGCCCTGGCTCTTTGTTCTTTCATGCCTCTACAGTTAATCCTGAGACACTGGGGTGAGAGTGGGTTTAGGAAAAACAGTGGAATTTAGAGATATGGTGGAGAGATGGAGGAATAAAAAGAAGTGGAGATTCTGACTGAGTGATAATAATGCAACAGGAGAAGTGATCTCTAAGCCAACAACTAAGTTATCATAATAGGGGCACCCTGAGAGCTAATGTCTATTGACAGCTCACTGTGAAGGAGACATTGTGCTTAGTGTATTTCATTCATTTTCTCATCTATTCCTCACAACAACCATATGAGAGTGGTTACTATTATTGTCCTCATTTTATAGAATAAGAAACTAAAACTTAAAGAGGCTATGTCCCAAGGTCACATACTTTGTAATTGGCCAAGCACAAATATGAATCTAGGTCTTTCTGACTCTCAACTATAACTTTTCAACCATCACCAAGCACAAAC